TCAGGGAGCAGTTGTAACTCATATAATTTATCTGGAACATAGCTGTAAGGAAGACTAGGAAACTAGGTTGGGCCATATGAGGAGGCATTTTGAACGTATCTGAGATGGAGGAAGAACCAGTGGAGGATTTTGAACAGGAAAAATGTGCTTAAAGGCTCACTTCAGAAAGATGAATCTGAGTGTGACATGGACCATGACTGGGAAACTAACATCTCTAGCCAGTAAGAGTCAGGTTAAGACATGACTGTTAAGGCTGGGGATTTAGCTCAGTGGTTCTGCTGCCTGCCTCGCAAGCTCAAGGTCCCGAGTTCGATCCCTGGTACAAAAAAAAGTTTTTTAGGCTATTTTAAATTTTTTTATTGTTCTATAATATGAACATATTTTCTTCTTTATTTATTGTCTTTTTACTTTTTCTACAATAGAATATAATTCTCCTTAGAGTAGGAATTATTTCTAACTCACTCTCAAATCTCCCACTTTTCCAGTAGAGTTTGACACATAAAATGCACTCAAAAAATATTGGTGGAAAGTGTGAATTCTATTTACCTTTTACTATTATAATTTTTACTGACACTTTCAAGTTGGAAAGCATAATAATCATTCTGGACCAAGAACTGGCATGGGTGTGTTATATGCACCAGAGCAGGACTCTGAGAAATAGGCAAATTATCACCCACTATTATCTGTTCATTTAGTGTTCGGCAGGATGAAGACTAATTGCAAAGAGTTTGGGAGAATAACAAAATATGGACCAAAGACCCAAACTACTTTCTGCTCACCACCTTTGAACTGAGGCCGTATTTGTCCAGGCTACTTCTAGCCAATGGTTGAGTATGTAAGGGATACCAAGCAGGCTTATTCCTGGTAGCCCCAGGGCTCCTTTGATGTCTAGCTTTGGGTAGGAAGCTCCTCTATGACCTTGCCAAATCATCTTTCTTAGACTGTTTCATAGTCTAGGATCCTCCTATCCAACTCCTCCCTTCTCTCTTTTGTTTGGGGATCTCTGACAGCTTTCCCTTTCTTTTCCAGCTCCTTCCCTGTTAGCTTTCATAGGTGCTTTCCTAATAAAATCCTTGCATGTTTTGGCATAGTAAAGCCCTTCCTTATCTTGCTGTGATTCTTGGAGGATTCTGTTCTTAGAGAACATATTCATTCTGAGACCTGACTTGTACCTTCTTTGTCTTTTAAATCAGACTTGAGCCCTGTTCTGATTCCTAGGCAAATTGTTGGGGACCCTGGTTATTTGATATCATGTCTGATTCTTAGCAGTATTCGCCTATTCTCCAGTTAGGAGCTGGATGTTTTCTTCAGCTAATCTAGTTCTGGCTAGAATGCTCTGCAAACGTGTGGACCATCTGGAAACCATGATGCTTTTCTGGAACCTTCTGTAAGGCTTTGATTATTGCTATGACCTTGAAACTCATTATATTGGCCTCATTGTTACAACCCAGAAATGAAGAAATGAATGAGCTTGTCCTCCTTTTAAATATCAGCTATAAGTTCAAAAGGTTGGAGTGTGTTTTACCAATGGCTCTATATGGTGCTAGCCCTGGAACAAGCAGGTAAGTTACACAAGCCTAAGGCCTGCATGGTTATAGAGTTTGTTTCTTTCCACACCAGCCTGCAGGTGAGGTACTAGCTCCCCATATATCAAGAATCAGAGTGCCAGTCACCTGAGATGTTGAAATGTACTTCTTCCAGAGAAGGTGATATTTTCAGCCATTATCAATCATTCTTAGTGGGAGTGAATTACTGATCCTTTACTGAGATTAGTGTGAAAGCTGAAGAGATAAAAGGCACTGGATATTTGAGAAACATGGAAAATACTATGAGAAGTACAAAAGCAGAAAGGAGAATCTGGTAACTCCAAAACAAATTTTATTGTCTCCACAGTTTTTCTCTGTGTCAGGCTATGCCTTGGACTTTCCACTACTTGTGCCATAGACTCTAAACAGTTGGAATTGAAATCTTTATACACAATAAACAGGAAGATATACATTTCCATGTGAGAAATAGTATTAGTTAATCCTTTGATAATCACACATGAGGAATTATCCTGATCTATTTATGTTTGTAGCGTAGAAAGCTCTTTATTTTCAGTCTCTACTCATAGTTGATCTAGTAACTGAGTCTGTAAAAAATGTTCTGAGTACATCAGCCAAAGTCTGTAAGGAAAGGTTTGACTAATGAGGGTAGTGTTTAGTGTTAGAAGGAGTTGGTCAGAATCTGTTTTATTAAAGTGTTATGTTAACCCAAGAGAATGCTAGATAGGAAACTCAGTGTTTAGATTATAGATGTTTCCTTCCTATCCTTTGGGATAAAATTATCCAACAGTCTGCCACGAAATTGGAAGTTCCTTGGTTTTACCACCATGTCTTTGTGTATTTATTTTCTCATCTGTAATATGACCATACAGAATGTCCTGATAATTTTGCTGGTGCTCATGAAAAGATGACAAAGCAAATATGAAAGTACTTGGAGAAGAATGTATTCTATGAATACAAGACAATGCTGTCTGTATAGAGATACTGAATGGCTACTGAGGGCAACCATGTGCCTCTCAATTTATGCAGCAAGTAGATTAGTTTTGACTTAATAACATGGTTTCTTTCCACTAGTTGACTACTACAACTAAAATAGCTTTAAAATTAGCAAATCCTTGTGCCTCAGTCAGTTTGGCTGATACAACAAAATACTATAAAGTGAATGGCTTAACAACAAATTCTCACAGTGCAAGAGGTTGAAGTCTGAGATCAGGTGCCAACGTGATGAGGTTCTTTTTTTTTTTTTTTTTTTTTGGTACCCAGGGGGATCGAACTCGGGTCCTTGTTCTTGTGCAGCAGGAGGTGAAACCACTGAGCTAAATCCCTGGCCCCATGGTGAAGTTCTTGATGAGAATCCTTTTACTGGTTTATATACTCATGTCTTCGGGCCAGGGATTTAGCTCAGTGGTTCTGCCACCTGCCTCGCAAGCGCAAGGACCCGAGTTCAATCCTTAGTACCAAAACAACAACAACAACAAAAAACATTTGGTAGCAGATGTCTTCTTGCTGTATTCTCACATGACAGAAGAGTCAGCTGTCTCTCACTATCTTCTTAAACAGGCACTAATTTGATTTCTAAGGGCTCTACCTCATGATCTAATTACCTCACAAGGACCCTCACCTTAATATGATCGCATTGGAATTAGGATTACAACCCATATGTTTTTTGGTGGGGACACAAACATTCATCCCATTGCATATTGATTGGTCCATTGCATATTGGTTGAGATAAAGTGATTGCTTTCAAGAATCTGACCTTTTTTTGTCTTTCAAATCCTCCTCGCTTCTGTAATGTGAATGTATTAGGTAATGAGTATGAGATAGATTTAACCTGGTCTATCACCCATTCTATTTTAAACATTTCTTTAAGAACAATAGATTGATATTAGAAGGATTTACTTAAGAAAACATTTATTCATATTAGTACTAATTATTAATATAACTTGTTCTGATAGATTTATTTTGATGCTATTCTTGATAAAAGACAATTGTAATATTTAAAGGTCAAAAAAGTAAATTTTCATTGTATTATCTGAATGTTAATGAAAATATCACTTTGCATAATGCATATGTCACAATTTCAGATTATATAATGAACTATATTCTGCTGAATAAAAAAGACATGTTTGAGGAGACAGATACATTTAACTTGCATGTGTGTACATTAAACATAAAATGTGCACATATATCAAAACATTACATTGAATCCCATAAAATGTTTAATTTTTGTTTTCCTTTGTTAATTAAAAAAATTTAAATTAAAAATGACTATAAAGATGCCAAGAAATTTTATGTGAGTGAACATTACATTAACATATAAGACTGCATATTAAAATGTATACATGAAATGTAGTTTATATATGGATATTTGTTAATTTGATAAATTTTATTGACTGTCCACTATATGCAAGTCACATTGAAGGCAATAAAGATACAGTGGAGAATAATAAGGGCAGAATTAATGATCGTATTCTAGTTGGAAGTGAGAAAGGAGGAAAGAAACAATGGGCAAAATATTCAGAAAGTACTAAGAAGGAAATTAAAATGTTTAAAAAAAGTTTATGCTGATGCAGAGCAAATGTCCAGAAAGGATGCCTCTTTTCTATGTAAACTGAGATCCAAATACAAGAAAGCGACAACTATGTGGGAAGAGAGGGGAGAGAGAGAGAGAGAGAGAGAGAGAGAGAGAGAGAGAGAGAGAAGATATGAATGAGAATGTAATTCTTCTGAGTTGGGAGTGAGCTTAGTGCTCAAGAAGGCCAGTCTTGTGGGAGTATAGAACTGAGATAGCAAGGTAAAAATGGGATTGAAAGGCAGAGGGATCTTGGATGTCATGGTACAACTTTGCATTTTATTCTAATTGCATTTTAACCATTTTTGTAAAGTTTTAAGCATGGGGATGAAAAGAATTTATTTGTGTTTGAGAAAGATCACTCTTACCAACACATAGAAAACAGAATGTTAGGATGCAAAAATGGAATCAATAGACTATGTAGGACACTCTTAGAGAAACAGATGAGAGATCAGAAACAAAGCTTTTGTAAATAGGGAGGGGTGGAGGGTTTGAAGGGAGGGGAAGGGAATGGGAAAAAATAAGAACCAAGATATACCATGTACAGGTACAAATTCCCAATGATGAATGTGATCATAATGTATACCTAAAATGTACCAATAAACTTAATGAATAAAAAAGTTAAAGAAATGGATAAGAGCTAGAAGTGGCTTGGACCAGGGTAGGAGCCGTGGAGATAGGGAAAATCAAAACACTGATGTTGTAGGTATAGAAGTACTGAGGTATCATGTGCTGTTATCTTCTCCCCAGATTTACATATGGAATCTTTACTCCCAGTACCTCAGAATGTGGCTGTATTTGGATATTACATCTTTAAGGTGTTAATTAAGTTAATATAAGTTTCTAGAGAGAGTCCCAATTCAAAACGACTGGTGTCTTTACAGAAGGAGGAAATTAGGACACAAGTGCACACAGGGGAAGACCACATGAAGACACAGAGGTGAGAAGAAGCCGTCTGCAAGCCAATGAGCGAGACCTTACAAGAAGCCAACCCTGCTGACAACATGAATCAGTCTAGATTTGGAATTGTGAAAAATACATTTCTGTTGTTTAAGCCCCTCAGTGTGTGGTACTTCTTAATAGTAACCCTGGCTAACTAATTCCTGGGACAGAAAAATAATTAAGGAATATGGCTAGGTTTTAACTTGAGAAGCTGAATATTTAGGGATCTCATTACCAGCATGAATAACACTGAGTAAGTGTATTAGTCAGTTTTCCCATTGCTGGACAAAAGTACCTGGCACTTGCAATTTAAAGGAGGAAGTGGTTTATTTAGCTCACAGTTTCAGAGGTTTCAGTCCATGGCTGGCTGACTCCAAGGCAGAAACATCGTGGCAGAAAAGCATGGCACAGCAAAACTCCTCAATTCTTCACTGCCTGGAAGCAGAGACAGGGGAACAGCTCCAGCAAAAGAATTACCCTCCGAAGCCATGCCCTCAGTGACCCACTTCCAACTTGGCCCAACCTCGTAATAACATATTTACCTAGGAATATCAGTGGATTAAGCCACTGATAAGTACAGTGCCCCTTGGTCCAAACACCATTCCTGTAGTTGATATAGGGGGAAGAGCTGTAACTCCCAAACCTACTAGATATCTGAAACATGAGTTTGTGTTCTCTAAAATCGAACAATGAGTTCTAGGAACAAAGGAGGTTAAGAGTAGGAAATTTTTTTTTTTTTGGTACCGGGGATCAACCTCGGGACCTTGCGCCTGCAATGCAGGCGGCAGAACCACTGAGCTAAATCCCCGGCCCAAGAGTAGGAAAAATTTATTGGGAGAAAGCTTCTTCCTAAGAGAGACAGAAGGGGGACCAGAAAGTGGGTTGCCTACCCACCCCACATTTCAAAGATGTTTTATACAGCCACGCCATGTGGTGAGGCGGGTACAAAGTGGGACAAAACTATAAGATCCAGTGGAAATTTACAAAGTGGGCATGAGGTGGAACAAAACCATGACCAACCAATAAGATTACAAGTACAGTCACCCAGGTAATATTGATTAAATGGGATCAAATGGGAAGACAAGTCACATAAAAGGAATTTCCCATTTAGAATATCAACCACTGCTAGCTATCTCTGGGGGAAGTATTGGCTCTTCTTTTTATAATGGTAACCAGGGAATGTGCCTCAATTTTTCTCCATGTTGTGTCCTTGCTGTGTTGGCTCCTGGAGGGCTGGTCCTGTCTAACTACACACAAGACATCTAATTAACTTACCTATCTACAATAGTCTCTTAGTCCAGTCAAGTTGGCAATTATGATGAGAAATGGAAAAAATGGAAATAAAGTCTTTGTAAATAGGGAAGGGTGGAGAGCGTGAAGGGAGGGCTAGGAATGGGGAAAAAATAAGAACCAGGTGCATTATGTAAAGGTACAATTCCCAATGAGAAATGTAATTGTGTTGTATACCTACAATGTACCAATAAAAGAATTTAATACAAAAAAAAAGATTAACTGGTACAGGAAAGAACAATTTTGGGGTTTGGTGGTGGGGAAAATTAAGAGGTAAACTTAGCAATTTTGTGTTTAAGATTCCTATCCATGTGCAAACATAAAAGATACTGAAAAGGCAGTGGTTGTATAAACCTGGATAATTTATAAATTGTTATACAAATAATGAAATCAGTATGGATCCTTTCAGCTATTCTCATCACTTCTGGATGTCAACACAGGTGGCTCCTTAAATGGGGTATCATATATCAGTGTCAGTAAGTTGGACCCACTGTTACTTTGTAGTGAAGGGAATTATGTGCTACATGATTTCTGTCCCTAAAAGTCAACAGACTTTGAGTGGACACAAAAGGGCCAAATGTTTTCTTGAAAAGCCACTCCAAATTAGGAAGCAACTGAGACATTCTGAAAATATTTACTGGATTGGATTTGAGACACAGCCTTGGATTTGAGCTTTGTCCTATTCAATGAGTGTTATCTTCAAGTGTAATCTCTGAATCAGATTTTTTATAGTGAATGCTCTCCATTTAGGGTATTTATGGAATTTTCAAGGGCAGTTTTTGTTGTTGCATGATTGGGGAGTACTAGTTATTAGAGGTCCTCCAAAGTCCTGCACAATGAATTATCCAATATTTGAAACAATTTTGAAGCTAATGGGATATATGTTTGTAGTTGCAAAGTCTGAAGAGTTGCCATTACAACTTGGGTGACGGTTGTAATATATGTTAACAATACTTCCTTTCAATAGTACATTGTTTTATAATACTCTACCTACATATCTGAAGTCAAACTTACAGAAAATATTGTTACACCCAGTGAGAGAGAACCAACCAGACAGCGATATTAAATCCACACAGGAGTTTATTACCGGCTGGGACCCGAGCCGAGCATCAGACTCGGGCATCGACTGGGGGTTGACAAACATGTTTTATACACCTTTGAGGCCAGCAGTTTCTAGGCCCCCCTATGGGATAGAAATAGCAAAGTAAAAAAAAGGTACAGAAGCGAAACGCCTTGTCACTAGAACATTTGTAAAATAATAGTTGATTAATTGTTGTTTCTAAGAGACTCTCTAAGGGGAGGAGGTTTCTAAGCTTCCTCCTTCTGAGTTCATCTAAAGGGCAGGCAGGTGGGTCAAGCAGCAATACGGAGTCTGTCTTGCTAACAAGGGTCCTTCAAATATGCCCTATTGACATATATGAATATTGTAAAAAAGCATGTATAGAAATGTGGTAGAACCAGTGACCTATAATATTTTAATAAGTGATACCATCAGGAAGGCCACTTTTTCCAGCAAATATTCCTAAAGGGTTTCACATTTATATTATTGAGGTTATTTCTAAATAAGATTATACATGAGATTACAGATTCACAATGATAGGATAGAAAGAATATGCCTATCTTAAAACTTTGATTTTGTAGCTCTATCAACCTCTAGGGTATTGTGAATTCTATTTTTGTAATAAAACCTATAATTAGCTTCTGAATATAAGTACAACTTTGCATTTATTCTTTTTTTTTTAAATTTCTGTTCATTGTATATCAACACTTAAATTACAATTTTTCTGACATTTCTTTACTAAAATACACATTTTTTAAAAATAAAAGAACTATATCAGGTCTTTCTTGACCTGTGAAAGGCCTTTGTGATAAGACTACTTCTTCAAAGATTAGTCTGAAGGTTAACTAAGCTTTAGGCTTTTACTCTCTCATACTCTCCCATGTACTGAACATTTCTGAAAATTTCGTGCAATTAAGATCAGAGGCTGAATTTCTTTTCTAAAAATTATGTTTTAATTGGACATATAACAAATGTACATATTTTAAAGGCCCAGTGTGATACATTGATATGTGATCTAGAGGCTAGATTTTTATAAAAAGGTTTTGCTTGTTCAGAGCAAAGCTGCATTATTTCCCCCCAGCTTTCTGTTAGAACCCAGGATGTACCTGACTGAAGCAGGAATCTAACTCAGCTTTTTTATCTTATGCTAAGTTATCACTTAATGTTTGGGAAACTTGGGCCGGGGCTTTAGCTCAGTGGTTTCGCCGCCTGCTGCTCAAGCGCAAGGACCCGAGTTTGATCCCTGGTACCAAAAACAAACAGACAAACAAACAAACAAAACCAAATGTTTGGGAAACTGATACAACTGATATATTGGTTAATAAAACATCAATCTCATGTTAAATTGATGCTGAGAACAACAGCTAGATGATAACAATTCTACATCTCATCAGAACTATGCCTAGGTTATAGTATAATAATGAAAATAAATAGGATTTCATAGTAATACACAGGCATGGAGAATTAGACAGAAACAACTCTATGTCACTGGAAGGTGTAGGCCACCTGAAAAGGAAAATGTAAGTCCATGCTTGCAGGATCAGTACCAGCATTCATAACCTAAAGGATGAGGGATTCATTGGGCTCAGTTTCAGAGGTTTTGATCCACGACTGTCTGTCTCCAAGGCACAAATATCATGGCTGGAAGCAGAACAAGAGAATGGTGCCAGAGAAAGGCGCCCGGGACCAGATAGACTCCAAGGTAACACTTCCATGGCCACCCAGATGCATCCCACATGTGCTTATTAATCCCCTAGGTGACTCCCAAGCCAATGAAATTGACAATTAAACTTAACTACCATATTTGTCTATAGTCTGCCTTCACCTCCCAGGCTGAGAACCCTGGAGGCAGAGAAAGCGTCTGTCCCATGGCCCAGGGCCCAGGGCATAAAAACAGCTTCACAGATGTGTTACATGCATGAATTTTTTAAAAGTATAAATCTTGGCCCCTAAGGGATACTTTCTGTCCTTGGCAATGACAATAGTAAAAACAAATTCACTTAAAGGGCAGAGTGCAAAATTTCAGGGCTGTGGGAAACAGAGGGGACATTACTTAATTTTTTAAAATAAATATTTGGGCTGTTTCCAACATTTTGTTATTACATGCACTATAGAACAGGTTAAATTCATGGAAAATGAATTATGCATTTAAAAAAAATCCCCAAGAAGGACTTCATGTATTTTTATTCACATAGATTAGTTGTATAGACAATAGTGCTTAAATCCCTACAGATTTACAAAACTTCTTGGAGTGCAAACATTACCCATATGTGAAAGGTCAGTGGCAAGAACGTTCTCCTTTTAACTACTGGTGTTTGAGCAGATGATTTTCTGTTGAAACTCCTGGCTTCATGACTGAGGGGCTTCCAGACTGTGGTCATGACAGCTGCTCCAGCCAGCCCCCTGCTGACCTCTGCAGCCACTGCAGGCTCCACTGAGTTTGCTGTCTCAGTTTGAGCCTGACTTCTGACTTTCCCACCCTCCTTGCAGCCTGATACCTGGTTGCTCCCCCCATGAATCATGTCTTTGTATTATTATTGATTTAATCTATGATTGAGAAATCATACTTACATACATTTGTAGGGTACAATTGTGATGCTTTGATATATGAATAAAATGTGCTGTGATTAAATCAAGCTAATTAACATATCCATCACCTCACTTACATATCATTTTTATGGTGCCACAAATTTTAATCTCTTTTTTGAAATACACTGTATAATGTATTTTATAGACTACAGTCACCTTGCTGTGCAGTAGATCCCCAAAC